AAGATCCCAGCAGAAATTCTTTGGGTGGATACAGGGCAACCTTTAATCCTGTCAGCCTCTGCCATGAATAACTGTGCTGGCTCATGGAACGGCCTGGTTCTGTCAGTGTAGAAGGCCAGGCCCTTCGGACACCCAGGGCAAGAAGCCTATGCTCCATCTCCGATTTATGCAGCTTTGGGAATAAGACTGGGAAGTAAATGTCCTGACTCAAATGAAACTGAGAGTCGACCTTGTGGGGAGAGATGCTCTAGGCCCTTCGGGAAGCTGGCAGCGATATACTGAGCGAAGACCAAACTGCAGATGGAAGGCCAAGAGGGCCACTAAATGGACCCAGGAAGATGCGCTGCACCTGACGAACACTGCTGCTTGCGCACATTCAGGCTGTCAGATGCAGCATCGCCAGGTTTGGGAGCAACAGACTGTCATGGTTCTGAGACAAACAGGTCTGCTCCGAGGGGTAGCTGGAACGGAGTCACTACCCGTAGGGGGGCTGACCCAGAGCTGGCGTAGCACTGTGTGGGATGATCCTCACCTGCCCTGTTTGATCTCTGTGAAGACCCAGGGGAGCAATGGCAGTGGAGGGAAGGTGTACATCAGGGCTAGAGCAGAAGTAGGCGCCTATGGCATTTCCTGTTGTGCCTGGACATGAACAGGTCCACCAGGGGAGTTCCCCAACTTCAGAAGACAGAACTGACCACCTCTGGATGCAGGGACCATTTGGGCAAGACGAGAACGTCCCAGTGAGTCGAACTGCCAAAGTGTTCCTGGCCCGGAAGGGAAGCAGCTACAAGATGGGTGTTGTGCTGCAGACAAAAGTCCCAAAGTCAAATGGCCTCCTGGCAGAGGGCAGACCGCCTGGCTCCATGTTGCCTGTTGATATAGCAGTCCATGGCCGTACTGTCCTCAAACACATGAGCCACCCTATCTTGAGTCTGAGACAGAAACACGTGGCAGGCCAGTCGAACTGCACTGAATTCCCTGACATTGATATGCAGGGTGTGATCATGACTGGACCAGCGACCTTGGGTGCTGAGGGTACCCAGATGTGCTCCCCATCCCAGGTCTGATGCATCAGAGACCAAGGTTGCTGACAAGACTGGGGTCATGAAGGGAACTCCTTCTAGCAGCAGCGTGGGAACCTGCCACGAGCTGAAGGACAAGAATACTTCATCCAGAATCCTGACTATCTGGCCCATGTGTTGGTTGGGGACACAGACTGATGCTAGCCATGCCTGAAGGGGCCTGAGGCGGAGATGTGTGCGCCAGACCACATAAGTACACGCCACCAT